CTGCTGATTTCTTCATTACATATCAAGAGCGGCATGCTTGGTTTCCCAAGTGGACCGGTATATCCATTCATCACTCCCTAGACAGCCACAACAGCAGGAAAAGGAACGAGGCTACAGCGGTTGTTGCTTGCCATCTTGGTCCTCGGAGTATTGTGTATAATCAACAACAGCTAGAGACGATCTCGGAGTAACTAATCGTCTAAAATTATTGGAAAGCAGCGAGCACAAAGAGCACAGGGCCGTAAATTTTGACTTAATATGGAAGGTACTCGAAGAGCCGAATCATCATTGCTGAGCATTCCTTCGCCGCGGTCTCATTTTGTAGACCATTACTAGATCACTCTTGGTGGCTTTATAAGCTAAATTCATGTCCAGTGTCGAGTTTTCTCAGCAAAATCAAGACTTCCTCTTAGTTGCGGCTTTCAACATAGAGTAGGAAGGCATCTCCCATCAAGCGAGAAGGCAGCAATGTAACCCGAATGATCCAAAGACAACATGATACCAAACTCTGTCGACGCTATTCATCCTTGTCCAAGTATTCGCGTAGAGATACCAAATCATACAGTCAAAGGCGTGGTCGCATGGGCATAATATAGCCCCTTAGATGACGAGGGATGGATGGCGATATAGCCTGTCCTCATGACATGTCTTTCGTGGCAATCTGCGTACCCAACAGCGCAGACTTGAGTTTCCTTGCTCATCTTCATCGTATCCCGATGTCACTTAAATATCTATACTCGCCACCAAGACTCCCGAACATGCTCGTCCGAAAGACGCACTCGCCAACCGATGTGGGGGGTACTTAAGCAGTGCCATGCTCAAGGTTCTAGACCGTCGACCAAAACAATCGGTGTGCCAGGCTGCCGTGGTTCGCTATGTGAAAGACGACAACTCTGCTAAGTTCAAGGGCAGATGAGCCTGATGTTGACCTCTACATCAGTAGCGGATCTTCGTCGCTGGTTTTGATCATCCTCGCTCGGCTATTCGCCCAGGTATCCAACGATACCTAAGGCAAGGGGTTGAAATTCTTCAGAGATTGGATTTACGACTTTGGCCTCTTGAAGAGGTCAGATTGCGTGGCCTTGCTGACCGAGAAGAATGGATGAAGTCTCAGACATAGGATTTGCTGCAAAGACCATCATGAGTAGATTCCGACATACATAGTCTTCGCCGTAATTGCATCACGTCTCACCTCCGCATCAAAAACACCACCAGCATGCCACCCAAGGTCTTTAGCTCAAGCCTGCACTCATCTTTTAATAACTGGCTCCGGAATCTGTTTCATTCATCATCATCTGTCCGGTTTCGAGTTATCCTACAACACTCCAAAACCCATCAACACTCATCATCCGCCCCCAAGGACCCAACACTAATCATCTTCAAATTCGGTCCCAACCCAACAAACAAGCTCTTGTGCCGCTTCCCCGGCATAGCCGTAAACCTCAAACTCTTAATCGGCGTCCGTCCCTTAATCCCGTCCACAGCAGGACACCGCAGCCTCCGCCCCGACAGCAGAGAATACATCCCCACGGCCCCGTCATCGTGCGCCGCCGCCACGACCCCGGCGTCCGCGTCGACGGCCCAGCCGATGTGCATGTGCGCGTCGTTCTTGTACCCCTCGAACTCGACCACCGGCCGCACGCCGTTCGGGAGCAAGCGGCGGTAGCGTATGTCGAACACGGCCATCAGCGACCGCGGCCCCGCCGCGACGAACTGGTGCGGGTTCACGGCCTCCAGGTGCGCGACGGGCCCGATGGGGAGGAGCTCCCATGCGTCCCACATCGTGCGCATGTCCATCAGCTTTATGGTGGGGTTGCGACCGCCTGCGAACAGGACGTTGGGGTTGTCCGGGAGGAAGGATGAGGTGAAGAAGTCGCCCTCCGGAGGGCCGGGGCGGGGCCGGGGCGGGCCGAGCCATCTGACACGCTCGTCGCCCATGAGCCTGAGCAGACCGAAGCTGGTGCCGATGACGCAGACCAGGTTGGACGAGGAAGGCGGTCCTATGGTTGTTGAGTTTACGACACCCTCGTGGCGGCCGCTGCGGTAGGAGATGTGACGGAGGTTGTTAGCTGTAGGTGCGTCAGTGAATGGGATCTGTGAACGGCACATAGGGGGCGAGTTACCCCTGTCAAGCAACCACTGCGGCCGGTGGTCGTTTGGGGCAGACCGTGGCGGCGAAAAGAGGTAAAGGTTCGTATTATTGCTCGGTTCCCGTGATGTTATGATCATACGGTGTGAGTTAGGGTGGTAGTTGATGGATGAGATCTGAGGGCAGCCAACCATCTCATGGCGATGCGACAGCCGATGCTCCGGACGACTGGAAGCATCTGTACTGAAAGATATCCTGCGAATGTCAGCATCTCGACATCGTAGATCACCAGACCAACATACTCGTCGTTCTCGTTCGTGGGTATATACGACCCGATCACAGTCTCTTCGTCAACAGCTGCAAAACTTTAGCATACGCACACCGACCCAAGACCTCACGAGAGCCAACTCACTCGCATACGCAACCCCGAGCCCCGTCTTGTCGTCGTGCCCACTGACCCAAAAGCACGGGATGTTGGGAAACCTCCCCGTCGCGAAGCTGGGCACGAACGGCACATCCCCCTTGTCCGTCAACCCCCTTGCCCACGCAGCGGCAGGGACATCATTCACCCCAAAGCTGCTGCCGCCGCCGCCACCGCTCCGGATCTTCCTCTCTCTCTTCACAACGCCGAGCTCGGCCTCGAGGAATCCGCCGAGGAGCGGGTCTCGGAGCACGGCGGACCGGACAATGTGCCGCTTAAGCCTTTCCTGGCGCGCCGCGACGGCCTCGGCCTCGCGATGTTTGACCTTGCGCCGCTTGACGCTCTCTGCGGACCACGCGGCGTTCTGCGGCGCCGACTGCGTCTTTTCGATCTTGAAGTACTTTCCCTTCTCCTCGTCTATGAAGTCTTGTGTCAGCCGGGTTGTTTCTTGTCTGCCCGTGTAAGTCACCCCGGGGGTATTGGGTGGGGTGGGTGTGCGGGTAGCCCACCATAATAGAATCCAGGGATTTGCATCCGTTGTTGGGGTGCCATGGCTTCGGTATTCGGCGCCGTAATCAGCGTCGCGCTCTCTCCGGCTCCGAGGCTTGGTGAGATTCAGAATCGTAGCACTGGGACGTCGGTCCCGAGGTGAAAGGTCGGTGAGTAAGTGCCTGCCCCAGGATGAGTGGCACAGGGTATGACTTGAGTGCTAGTCGTTGGGAGGCGGAGGAGGGTGTGCTTTCCCAATAGGTAAGCACCAAGAAGAAAGAAAGAAAAATCCAACTAGCTTCCTTTGATCCAAACAGGGTGGCGCACAGTTTGTCAAGCTAAGTAAAAAATACTGTGAGCCAATCTGGTGATGTGAGTGTGTGAGTGTATTGCCCGCCTGTGCAAGAGGGTGTGTACCACCAAAGCAGATTCCAGCAGATCGTCACTTGCACGTGTGGTTTGGGGGTATTCCATGCATGGGCCTTGCGGCACGATGTCGTCGACGGGCTGACAAAGGGGAGAGCACCCCCGGGAGAAGATGGCGTCGGTGGCGCCGAGCTGGCAGTGTGGTACGGCAACGGGGTTTCGATGAAGTTGGATGAGCGGCAGGAATGGCCGGGGGAGGACACCACCAGCAGAGGTGGAAGAAAAAAAGAAGGGAAGGGAAAAGTGGAGATAGTGGTGGTAGTCTTCGGCACCGGCGCCGGCCTACAAACTCCAACCTGGAACACAGCAGCAGCTCGGAGACGCCCTGAAGAGGGTGTGGTACACTGCATTGAAGCGCTGTAAGCCCGGCGCGGGCGAGCTAAAAGCCGCCTTGCTCTAAACCTCCGCTGATGTGACAGCCCCAAATGCGCGCATGTGGGGGCGGGACGCAGCCCGCGCAGCACCAGGACTGCGAACCGCGGCGGCCATCGCTCCCTGGGAAATAGCGAGACTAACAATTAGCTCAATACACACCACCATCCATCACCAAACCAACGCTACACCCAGCTGCGCGGCATCTCCTCGGTCTCGCTGGAATAATCGGTCGCTCTTCCACTAGAACAATTTTTTACCCCGGTCAGCCTCAAAGTCCACTTGGAGGAGCTTCCCCAACCTCCGCTTGTTCCAACAAGCAGCCATCAACGGCCAAACTCGGGCAAGGCCCGCTAGGGAAGGCTTGATCTTTCTCCCACACACACCCGACGCCCCGTTGTCTTGAAGTTCTGGCCAAAGGACTAGGCGGCTCCGAGGCGCAGCGTTACTGATGATCTTGGTAATTCTGATTAGCTCATCTAGAACCATGCCAAAGTCTGACAACGGCTTTCGACGGTCAACGACGACCGGTTCCCGCGCCGTGGAACGGGGCTCTCGGCGATCTGGTGAGTGACCAACCTCCCGGGACAAACGCCTAGCATAGCATCTCAGTGGAATCAAACGGTCGACTTTGCGGCTTGAACTTGCGAATGAGATATAGAAGAAATGGCCAGAGGATCGAGAGGCGCCAGCCAAATGTCTTTCCCAACCTCCAGGGCGTTCGTCGTGACCGTCGCAACCATTCAGCCTCCTCACATCCGTAACACCAAATTGAAACCATCGCCAAGCCAGTCATTCCCAACAGTTACACACAACCAGCCCCAAGTACCATAGTGAGAAAAAAGAAACCACACAATGTTCAAGACACCTACCCGTGAAGCCAAGCTTGACCAACACCACCTTACCCCAAAAGACATTCCACGCGTTCCACGAGAAAAAACGGGCAGAAACCCCCATCCACACCGATCCAAACTCAAACCCCTCCTCCCCACCCCGCCGCCCCTCCACCTCTGAGGCGCCTCTGCTGAGTGCTTGCTTGCTTGCTTGCCCCTCCACCCCTCCGCCAGACTTCCCGCCAAGGCCAGTGACAGCTATCCAAGCTCCCTTTTCCCCTTTCCTTTCCACCTCACCAAGCTACCTGCCCAAAACCTCTTCCTCACCACACCTATCCAACCTCTCCTCAACCACCCAAAAACCGCCAAAATGGTCTACACAATCACCGTCCACCTCCACGCCAACGACCACCCCGACTCCGTCGACCGCCTCAAGGCCAAGCTCGTCGAGGCCTCCCGCGTCTACTCCAAGGACAGGGAGACCGTCAGCTGGTTCGTCATGCAAGACGTCCACGACCCCAGGTCCTTCACCATCGTCGAGCGATTCGAGACCGAGGCTGTAAGTCAAAGCCACCTCTCTCTTCCCTTTCCTTCCCAAATACACGCCCACTGGGTTGTCAATGACCAGCCTGACTGACTTGTCTCCTCCAACCACAGAGCCAGAAGTACCACCTCGAGAACCCCTACTGGAAGACCTTCGACCCATACGTCGTCCCCCTGCTTGACCGGCCCATGGACTTGAGAAGACACGAAGAGCTGGATACTTCCAAGGACGTTGTCGTTCCTCAATAGAACATGCACATGACCAGAGAACGAAACATTGGATACACATGTAATAGCTGGGCCTTGAAGACACTGATGTTCGATGGGATACGAATTGACTTAAGAATGTACCTTGTCCCAATCCACTGAACAAGACATGTCATCGACGAATAAGACGTGTGGACGATATCGAAATTCTTCCAACCAGCCAACACATGTCACTTGAGGGCAATGAGGGCTATCATAAATTTTACGAATTTGTATTAGGTCTATGCGCACTACTAGGGTATTCTCCCCCTCCACTCGAATCACAGTAATTACCGATGAGGTCGACATCAAACTGTTTTAAACAAAGAGAAGGCGATGTCACTCCTCCTCCGGTTGATTAAGGCCAAATGTCTATGCGGCCCAAGAAAGAGCACCCAGAGCCGATTAAGTACGACTCTGAAGAGACATCCTTCTTTACTGCGACTTCTCGTGCTGGGTAGAGACACGCTGCAGGGAAACGACTGGTAAAACAGTTAGCTAGGGTTCTGTAACATGACACCTTTTGTGGGGTGGGATATATAAACTTACCAAAGTCCTCGAGCGAACGCTGCTTCTGGCTGCCCTTGGGGGACTTGCCATGCATGAGGTTGTCGAAGCCCTTGCTGTCCTCGAGCATGTAGTAAACTCCGGCGCAGACGCAGAAGACACCGAAGGAGAAGATCCAGATACGGACAACGGCGACAATGGAGGTCTGCTCGCCGCCCTGGAACCAACCGAAGATACAGAAGAGGGTGGCGAGGATGTCGACAACCAGGATGGCACCAGACAGCTGCCACGAGGGGATGGAGGACCAGAAGGGGCCGTTGGCACGGGTGACGAAGATCAGCCAGTTCTCAGTAAGGGAGATCTCAAGGAAGAGAACCTCATCCATGTTACCGAAGTTCTGGACGATACCGCCGTCGGGGCCGTGAGCGTACATGGTGGTGACAGTAATCCAGGTACCGACAGCGAGGACGACACCGAGGAGAACGGACATACCCCAGAGCTTGGGCAGGTTCCACTTGACGGGGGTCTTGGAGAAGGGGGCGTTGTCGTAGGCGATGGCGAGGGTGGCGATATCGGCGAAAATGGCAATGAAGACGACAAGCTCAATGTTCAGGGAACGGTTGAGAATGGCGATCCAAAGACCAAGGTAGATCTCCAAGTGGATGGACAGGGCGATACGGTAGACGACGTAGGCGTACATGCGGTGGAAAATCTGGCGAGACGTCTTGAGGGCGTCAATGATAGCACCAAGACCGGGAGCAAGGAAGACAATGTCGGCAGCGGAGCGAGCGGCGTCAGAGGCACCCTCGACGGCAATACCAGTATCGGCCTTCTTCAGGGAAGGAGCGTCGTTGACACCGTCACCAGTCATGGCAACGAGGTAGCCACGCTGCTGAAGGATCTCGACGACGTTGTACTTGTGCTGGGGGAAGACCTCGGCGAAACCATCGGCAGCCTCGACGAAGTCGTAAACCTCAGAACCGGGCATGTCACCGCCACCACCGAGACCAAGGCGCTCAGCGTTGTAGATGTTGGTGCCGAGACCGAGCTGGCGAGAAGTCTCACGAGCGATACCGACGGCGTCGCCAGTGAGCATCTTGATGGACAGACCGAGAACCTTGGCCTCGTTGACAGTGCGGGCGGTATCATGGCGAGGGGGGTCAGAGCAGGGCATGATGCCGAGGATCTCCCAGGCACCGTGCTCACCACGCTTGCGGGCAACACCAAGGGAACGGAAACCACGGGTAGCGAACTCGGCAACCTTGTTCTTGTAGGCCTGGTCGATCTCCTCGGGGATCTCGTGGTCCTGCTCGACGGTCTTGAGGACGAAAAGGGGAGCACCCTTGACGCAGGTAATCTGCTCACCGGCGGGGGACTGGACGATGGCGGTAACCTTCTTGGAGACGGGGTCGAAGGGGAAGAACTCAAGAACCTGGTACTTGGACAGGACAGACTTGGCGCGGGGGTAATAGCGCAGCGACTTCAAGAAAGCCTTGTCGATGGCGTCCATACCCTTCTTCTTGCGGGAAGCAGCCAAGCAGGCAGTGAGCATGAGGTCCTCGGGGTCGACACCGGCGACGGTGTAGGGCTCGGCAAGAGAGAGCTTGTTCTTGGTCAGGGTACCGGTCTTGTCAGAGCAGAGAATCTCGACACCAGCAAGGGACTCGATAGCGGAAAGCTTCTGGACAATGGCCTTCTTCTTGGCGAGGTAGGCAGCACCGACAGCCATGGTGGTGGTGACGACGGCAGGAAGACCGACGGGGACACCGATAATGGTGATGGCGAGGGTGAAGCGAAGGATGTCGACAATGCCGTTGGAGCGGTAGAAGGAGGAAACCCAGACGATAAGGAGAGTGAAGACGACAAGGACCAGGAGAATGGTACCAATGCCGTTCAGGACCTCAGTGAAGTGACCAGTGCCGGAGTTGGCAGCGTTGACGAGGGCGGCAGCGCGACCGACGAAGGTGTTGTCACCAGTGGCGGTAACGATGATGAAAGCCTCACCACGCTTGATAGCGGAGGAAGCGTAGCAAGAGTCGTTCTGGTGCTTGTCGACAGCCAGAGACTCACCAGTGATGGCAGACTGGTCGACCTGGAGGAAAGCATCCTCGGTCACGATCTTTCCGTCGGCGGGGATAATGGTACCCTCCTCAACCTGGAGGATATCACCGGGAACAACCTCGGGGGCCTCAACCTCCTTCAGGGTGCCGTCACGGAGAACGACAGCCTTGAGGGCGAGAGTCTTCTTGAGTTCGGCGACAATCTAGGGTGGGGGTCAGCAATGCAGCTCTGGGAAATCCTTGGCAACGCATGCCAGGTGTGGGGCCGAGTTGACTTACAGATCCAGCCTGGAATTCCTGAACGAAACCGACAACAGCGTTAAGCAGCAAAAGACCGCAAATGACACCGAAATCGATCCAGTCCTCAAGACCGGCAGCCAGGACGGCAGCGGCCTCCATGACGAACTGAATAGGTCCGACGAAGAACATGAACTGCAGCCAGGTTAGCGAATGGTTCGTGGCAGACCGACAAGATGCGCGGGGCGACATACAAACTTCAGGACAAGGTTCTCCTTGGCCTCAGCCATCTCGTTGCGACCCCACTTCTTGCGGCGGTTGAGAACCTCTGCCTCAGTGAGACCCATGCGGGTGTCGGTCTGGAGCTGGTCCTCAGGGACGACACGGCCAGTGCCAGGGGTGGTGTCTGCGAGCCATTGGGTTAGCTGATACCGTTGTTGACGAGAGTGTGTAGGCCAAGCCAGGTTGACAGCGAGTGCTATGAACTTGGGGAGCTACACGGGGATGGCAACGTACCCTCTTCCTCCTCGTCGATGTGGCCATCCTGACTCTCGAGGTCCTCAATAAGGGCATCGATGTCCTCATCCTCCTCCTCCTCCTCCTCGACCTTGGCCTTGGAGGCAGCGGGAGCCTCGACGGGGGCCTTCTCGTCGAATCTGTGGCCCTCAATGGGCGTGTTGATGGCCGGCGCCGCGGCGTTTGACTCGGCCATGGCGACTGGTGTGAGGCAGACGAGCTCTGCTCAGGCTATTAAGCGCGAATAGGGTATAGGTCGCAAATAATAGGTGTTGAGATTGGTAGGTATTCCGTAATACGGCGAGGCGCTGCTGGTTTCTAGGACAAGCCTAAGAAATACTGGTTTGGTCGCAGGATACGCGTAGGAAAGGTGATTGAGAAGAGGGAGAGTGGAGAGGGGGGGAGGTTGAGCACCACACGAATGTGAAAGGCGATCTATATACCTAGAGGCAGCCTTCGTGGGTGATGAAAAAAGAAGAGAAAGGAAGCACGGCTGTAAAGGTGCGGAAGCTTCGCTACTTTAAAGAAAGTGCGGGCTTGGGGGGGGAGAGACACGAGCGACACCAGAAAGAGGCGACGACTGGGCCATCAATGTGCATGTGTGTGTGGTGCAGCAGCAGCAGCACTGCGAAGGAAGCAACAGCAACAGCAACAAGCAGCAGGCGCAACCGTGGTAGAGGGTGTGTCTGCAAGGCGGGAGGTGTGGGTCGGGGGAGTGAATTGAGAGATGAGATGGGACCTTTTTGGGGTGGGTGGGCGTGTTGGAAGGCAAGGCGTGGGCCGTGGAGCATGTCGAGCGAGCTATCCGGCCGACACTGACCCAGGGCAGAGCGAAAGGAAAAGGGAAAGAGCAACCCAAAGGGCCAATCCGTGAATCCACGGCCCAGAGAGGTACCCACTCTACGTACCCGCAACCGACGGTATTGCTAGCTCGCCCGCTTTTTTTTCAGTGTGTCTCTCACACAGGTCGTTCGGGCACTCAGAGCAATAGCGAGGGAGGAGCGAGGAAAGAGCGACGCGATGGACGGCCATGGACCGCGGACGGCGGCGACGGCAGCGGCAGCGGTTCGGCAGGACCACAAGGCCAGGCCAGAGCCAGGACAGGACTTGTTCGCTTCCCTAGAAAGCTGACGATTAGAATTATTACACATGACAGGCACAGGGCTCAGAGCGCCAAATGGAAGGAGACAATGGCTCCATTGCGCGAGGCATGTTTAATGTCAAGCAGAGCTGCCAAATACCGGACCAGACCTTAACACGCGCGCCGTAAGGTAAGGAAGGTCAATGGCAGCAACGCAACGGTAGCAGCATGGCAAGGTCCTCCGTAGGGGAGAAGAAACAAAAGGTGCAGGGAAGGTGAGGTAAGGTCCAGGTCCACGATAAAGGCTCCACCTCCAGACAAGGTAAAAAGTAGGCAGGTACCTGTTGGCCAGGTCGCGGAGAAGGCAAATGAAGCTGGAGAAGCTACACGCCCAGATCGGTTCACGGTACGCGATATCCACCAGCGGCGGGCACAACGCGGCAGGGACAGCACTCGACTGAGCAGGACCCAAGACTGGCCAGACCAGTCAGGATCTGACCTCGCCTGGGGGCCCAGTCAGTCATCCAGACGAGGGAAGGATTGATTGATGATGAGCGCGAGAGAAACCTCTTTGAACGAACCTAGTTAAACTATGAAAATGT